GGTACATGCCCTTGACTGGAATCGAACCTGGGACCCTTCGGTCCGCAGGCCAATGCTCTATCCCAGGGGTGGGCAAACTTTTTGACTCGAGGGCCACAATGGGTTCTTAAACTGGACCGGAGGGCTGGAACAAAAGCATGGATGGAGTGTTTGTGTGAACTAATATAAATTCAAAGTAAACATCATTACATAAAAGGGTACGTAGTTTCCCCACGGCTGACATAGTTGCTTAGAGTTGCAGCTGAGAGGCCGGCAAGTTAGGCGGGGAACGTTGGAGTCCGCAGTCACTGGAGTAAGCAAGCCTCCCTGCTCGCTTCAGTGCATGGCTGCCGGCCGCCATCTTTGCTGACAGTTAATTTGCATAAGGATATGCTGATTAGCCAAAGGGAAGGGTAGCGGTCGTACGCTAATTACCATGTTTCTCTTTTATTAGTGTAGATTTCCTGCTTGGTTATATAGAAAAGGGTAAGATATTCCTGGCAGGAAATAAAACCAGAAGTATGGCACACTACACAAACACACTTGTCTCATCCTGAACATCAAGTTTTAGTTGAATGACTTAATGAAACTCCAACAAATAAAAAATAAAAGGTAAAGAAAACATATTCCTTTAAATTTTAATTAAAATGTTTTACTGTGTTTGCATCTATAAAATTAATTTTTGGTGTTACTATGAAGTTAAATTTTGGGATAAAAAAGCAAACAAGGCATATATATGTATACACACACACACACACACACACACACACGTATATGTATGTGTACACACACACACACAGTTTGTTTTTTTGTTAATCCTCAGACGAGGATATTTTTTTCCATTGCTTTTTCAGAGAGAGACTGGAAGGGAGGGAGGGAGAGAGAAAGAGAGAGAAAACATCAATGTGAGAGAGACACATTGACTGGTTGCCTCTTGCATGTCCTGACCCAGGGCCAGGAGCCAACTATCACCCAGGTTAAGTGCCCTAGACTGGGAATTGAAACCTTGTTGAGATGGCCGACGCTCTAACCACTGGGAACACCGGCCAGGGCAAGATGTTCGTTTTTGACTCGTTAAACAAAAATCTTTGGCTATTAAAAAAAAAAAATTTAATAAGAACAGGAAAAAATATGAGAACATAAAGTCAGACATAGGATTAAGATTCTAATCTGTCATAAATAGCAAATTACTTAATTTACTTAATTTGAGTTGTTTCCTAAGTTATCCCAGGAATAGGTTGATTATCTGTAAGATTTTTCCTACCTTGAAAATTATGATTAAGTGCATTTTGAGACTCAGAATTTCAGGAATTTAATTCACATTTCATTATTTTTCCCCTTCCTTATAAGGAAATATTTAGAAACATTATTAAATAGTCTAAGTTCTTTCCAAAATGTGTATGTTATAATGTACATTTAACTGTGAGGTAAGTATCTCTCAAGTAATTTCGTTTTACTAGAGAAACAAAGGGAAATGAATATTTGTTTAATCATAAGTAAAAATCTGTATATTTACACTGAATATAAATGTGCATTAAGAAATACTTATTTGATGTATAAGCTCTTTCAATAAACTCTTGATGGCATTCAACACAATTATTAAATTGCAATTATACTATTTTAATATACATAATACATCTGAAAAGTTAGTACTAATTTTTATAGATTATAGAATTATAAACATAACAGGATTATTAATTACACTGAAAATACACTATCAATAAAACAGAAAGTTCATTAGTAATATTAATATATATTAAAATATGACTGTAGAATATGGTCAACCTTACTTCAGCAGCACAGTTAATACTGGAGATAATTTAGAATCTTAACGCCAATATTTACGTGCTGCTAAGGCACTGTTGACATCACTATCATAGGAGTTATGAAGAGTTAAAACAAATACATTTTCTTCAGAAGATCAGATCCTTGTATTTTTGAGGCAGCACAATATGGCCTGCACCTTTTCAAAACCCACAAACCATTATGTGCTGCTACTTTACTCCAAGGTTTTATTTTTTTAAACTCACATTAGCACCTAAAGATACAAAAATATTTTTTTTTCTTTTAGGGAAAAAAGAGAATAAAACCATTAAAAATTCCATGTTTATAGATTATTGCATAATTAGTTTCTTAGAAGCTTTTAAGTAGCATAATAATTTATTTCTACATCAAAAATTTAAGGAAAGCCAACTATGTGCCAAGCACTTTGCTATAGTTAGGATAAAATGCATAATGTGAGGAAAAGAAAAGTATTTTTCCTATGTCACCTTAATAAGTTAATAGTTAAATATTTAACCAAAATTTTGAATGTATTAAATACTTTAAGTTATTTTTTTCTTTTATAAAAAGTAAATTCATAAAATTTGGTCTTTACCTTGGTAACAGCATATATTATAAACAGCATTTCATTCCTTGAAGTACACTTTTCATAAGACATCTTCATTAAGTAGGTAAGACTTCATATCAAGAGAAAAATAAAAAATGACATGCAAGAGCTCAGTTTCAATAAACTAAAGCTAGCAAAATGAAGTCACATGAAATATTTAATACTAAGTAAAAAGACCCCAAACAAATCAATTTTCTTAAATAATTTATGTTTAAAAACCCAAATATTTTACCCTCAACATTTATCTCCCTACTAAAATAGTCTGTCAAAGTTGGATATCATTTTATATAAGACGTAATTCTAGAATATGAAGCTTTGGAAAGATAAGTTAACTTTGTACCCAGAGATGAGAAATAAAAACAGAAATCCTGTAGCTCTTTATCTTTCTACCCCTTACCTGTTTCCACTCTTCATCAGGCAAGAAAATATTCTCCTAAACATTTTCCACTTATTCAACTTTGGGAATTACATATTTCTCTCACAGGGGTGGGGAACCCTCTTTTCTGCCAAAGGCTATTTGGATATTTATAACATCATTCTTGGGCCACACAAAATTGTCAACTTAAAAATTAGCCTGCTATATTTTGTCAAACATTTAATTAACTCACCCTTAATGCTTTGACAAGGCCAGATCAAATGATTTTGAGGGCTTTATATGTCCTATGGACTGGACATTCCCTACCACTCCTCTAAAAGATAAAATTACCAGGACTCTAGCTCAAATCTTGATAACCTCTTTTATCCCCGTTTTCTCACCATTAAAATAGCTTTGCTAAGGTTATAATACTTCTACAGAATAACGTGATGTGCACTGAAATTTGTCCATCCCTCCTAATATCTAATTGTTTAGAAAAAGCACAACTGTCATATAGTCCATATTAATTTTCTTGTGAATATTTTCACTATTATTAAAAAACATATGTAGTTAATCTCCTATCTGAGCAACCTGTGTTTCATATGTTACTCTACTCTATTAGTGTCTTACTTTTCCACACAATTTTTAATATGTAGCCAAAATAAATCTGTTTGCAATAACATGAAAATACATACTACTTATTTGTATTTACCAATTACACTAAGAAACTGACCTTCAGGTTACCCTCTCCCGTCAAACCCACTTTCCAGACAAAAAGGCACACCCTTTCAGACAAAAATGTAAGCATGACAATTTTCAAATATACAAACCATATACATATATATATATGTATTTTATTTAACAAATACTTTATTGAACACCTACTATGAGCTAGGCACGGCCCCAGTTGTTACACTAATTGGTACACTAATATACCAGACAAACTCCCTTCCAAAAAATTTAAGATCATTTAGATTGAGACAAAAATCATGAAATAACCGTTCAAGATTATATACTGTTCTTTGAGCCTGCGGCAAGTAGATGTATACATTAAATAATTATTACAAAGTCAAATGAATGATTATTTCAAAATCATGAAAAATGAGTCATTTCAATTCCAATACTTCCTTTTTGCTAAGTCTACTAGTATATATTTTAAACTAAGCCAAGTATACCATACTTGAAATGTGAATACTATAAAATGCAATCAGTTTTTAAAACCTTTTAAAAAAATTCACATTAAGAACGTCATTAATTTTATTTCTTAAAATTGCAGTTAAATATACCTAACATAAATGTTACCATTTTAAAGCTCTATGGCATTAAGACCATTCACATTGCTGTGCAATCATTGCCACCCTCCATTCTCTAGAACCTTTTTATCCATAGCAACTAAAACTATACCCACTAAATACTAACTACCTAGGGAGGGAGAAGAGGTAGAGGAGAAGGAGGGAAAGGGATGGAGGGAGGGAGGGACGGAGGGAGGGAGGAAAACATCAATCCGTTGTCTCCCTGACCAGGAATTGAACTGGAGGCCCTTTGGTGCACGGGAGGATGATGTAACCAACTGAACCACACTGGCCAAGGCAAAGATTATTGCTTTCTGTGACAATACATATTGTAATTTTATCACCAATGTTTTAATAATCGCCCTCATGAGAAGGATGATTTTTTCCCTATTTTTATTTCTACTTTTAACTATCTGAGATAATTAAAAATAACTTTCTATTTGAAAGCCTGATAAAAATATTTCCATAAAATACAGAAATTCTTGATTTATTTTAATCAAATGTGAAAATTCTTGATTTAAATTATTAATAAAGTGAAAGATTCTAGTGGAGCAATTCCAGCTAGATAGAGAAGGAGTACCTCTATACATGGCATAAAAATATTTCTGCTACTTTGTTATTTAGCTATCCTTTATGTGTTACTACATTACTTTAGATTTTTCAAGTATCTTAATTTTACTTTTAATATGGCATCAATACATTTTATAATAGTAATTACTTTCTTCAAGTATGCTTTACATTCTGCACTTAAACCTCTGGAGCTGGCTATATATAACCATTCTGGGCTGCAGAATGATTATCCTTGCTCAGGACAGTGGAATACTACTTAAGTAATGAAATATAGGGTGGGGCAAAAGTAGGTTTACAGTTGTGAGTATGCAAAACCATTTACTTTTGTATTATTTATTAATTATTGTATTTTCCATATGAACAACTGTAAACCTACTTTTGCCCCACCCTGTATTATTATTATTATTCTTTGTTAATCCTCACCGGATATTTTTCCCATTAATTTTTAGATAATGGAAAGGAGGGAAGGAGGGAGTAGGGGAAGGGAGAGAAGGACTAGAGAGAGAGGGGGAGAGAGACACATCAATTGTTTGCCTCCCGCAGGCAAAAGGCATTCCAACCTGGGCTGGGGATCGAGCCTGCAACCCAGGTACATGCCCTTGACTGGGAATCGAACCCTCGACCCTTCGGAGCATGGGTCAACCCTCTAACCACCAAGCCACAATGTCCAGGGCCCTACCCTGTATTATTATACTTGAAGAACATTTTAAATTAGCCACTCTTTAATATCTTTAAGCAAAGCCTAAATTATGGGGTCAAACCAAACAGCATGACAATTTCACTGAATATGGTAATTTTTTCATTACCCTATTAAGAAATTGAGAGGTTTATGAAATGTCCAAATATATAAAACTCACGGGTAACAGATTAAAATGTGTTTCGCTTTTTTTTTTTTTACTTGTCTTTTGGGTACAAGTGATTAAATACAAAAAGATTATATTAACTACAGAAGATACATTTAAAATTCAGTGTGGTGATGAGGCATGCAATGAAATAACATTTCGCTATAATCCAAAAAACTTGTTTTATAATCCAAAAAACCTAGTTTTTGCATTTAAGTTGTATTGTTTCTATACTACCTTGATTTTTTTTTTTTCTGATGGAGAAATTAACAAATGAATGATTATTTGGAAACTGTGAAGTGGATTTCAATTTAGACAATTTATCCCAGAAAAGTCAGGATATTTATATATAAGTCCCTAAATAGAAGCTAAACATTCATATTTTTGGGGTATTAAATTTTTGATGATTTTACTCTAGATATGAATCAATTATAAATATACCATGATGTCAGCCAAGAAATACAATACAAAAAAGTTGATAAGAACTAATAAATATAGCCAAACCTCGGTTCTTAAACATCTCCCATCTCAAACAACTTGATTCTCAACCAAGTTTTTATGGGAAAAAATGTCTCGGTTGTTGAATGAAACTTTGGTTCTCGATTCCACAATCCTTTCATGCTGATACTACCTGTATGATCAGTCATGAGTCTCTCAGGTGACAAAGGAGAGTGTGCATGAGTGAATCAGTTTACCCCTAAACCTTGTGTTGTAAACATATCAGAAAAATGAAAACAAGGCAAAATTTAATAGCACAGGTCTTGATTTAAATAGGAAATAAACATACAAATGTAATGAACTCTAGTATAATAGGGATTTCATGTTCTAAGCATAAATAAAATAGGTAACATCAACAGATTACTCAATGCAGTCTTGCCCTTTGTCACTAATTTGTCTGAAATCTTTAAGTCTTCAAAGTTATCTCCATGTGAAAACAGGAATAAATTGAATGCAGAATTGAAATAAATTTATGTCCACAAGTAAGCAATCACACTTTTTACCTAGGCTGTCAGTTTTACTCTTCCTGTTATGTTCAATAAATATATAAGAGGCATACACATAATCATACAGAATCACTGACTACTGTCACTATGTGCTATTTTTCTGGGTATTGTTTAATTGGAAACATTACCATTTTAGTACCTTAAAGGGAACTCCAGGCATATTACCTAGAACAAACAACAGAAAAAATTCCAACTATGAAATATTGCAAATGACCTATGTTTAAAAGATACTGCAGAGTAGCCAAGAAAAACTGCTTAGAAATTTATAAAGGAGATGAAATGAGGTTAACAACGTTATGTTATGTGTGCTTAAAAATTTTTTAAAAGTTAAATGATACCCATTTCTTTTTGAAGAATAGACTGCCCTCAGTCTATAGTAAGTGCAATACAAATTGAAAAGACTTCTTTTTCTGAGACTTTAGTTGAAGAAAAGCTGAGCTGGCTTCCAAGGGACCAATTAAGAAACCCAAGCCTGGATTATATAGGATTCTTTAGGGATTTGCAAATGTTTCCATTCTAGTTTTCCAGAGACAAAAATATTGAGGGGAAAAATTTTAAAAAGAAGTGACCTGTGACATTTGGCTACTACTCTTCAAACTGGCTCATTATTAAAAGTTTTAATATTTAATTATTTGTACCCTAAAAACTACTTATCAAATTCAGTAGATGACCACCTATGATCATAATAAGCTCACTCTTCAACACATAGACATTATTTACTGGATCACTAATGCAATAGTATGAGATAATGTAAAAAAAGCATCTCAAGTATTAGTTTTCGTTTAAACAGGGCCATCCCTCAATATCAAGAACAGAAATAGCTGCACATTACTTTCATTTAGAGATATAAAATTAGCTCAAGAAACATATGGAAATTAATCTTTTTGGTAGAGAATCTCAAATACTTTTAAGGAAATACGTATTTCCTAGATTTGAGAGCTTTTCTAATGGTATAATATTAATTTTAGCTAATGTGTTAGAATTATTCCCTTAGAATTTACTTGTTTCTCAAAAGTTAAATGAATCAGGGTAAAAATCTTTCATATTCTAAGAAAAGAGGTGTGCATGTGTATATATAAAAGGAAGGAAAAGGGATTGTCTTCCTGTTTTTCCCACCTCCTGAAGTTTAACAGCTAAATCCAAAGCACTTCACAAAGAAGTATGAAGTGTAACCTAGGGAAATATAAAAATAATAATAATAATTTCTTAAATGGAGAGAATACTTCCAATTTATAAAACCATAAAATAACTGTCAAGGAACCTGAATAATGATGATAAGAAAAGACCATACTTATATGTAAATTCCTTTGAAGGAAAAAGGTGTAAAATTGTCATTCTCAGAGTTAGAGATGCTAGGGCCTAGCTGTAAGATACTTTCCCAAACAGAAAAATTACCTATGGCAATGACATTATTCTTGCTCTAAAATGGATTAAATAAACACCAAACTTCCCCCAGCCAGTATGGCTCAGTGGTTGATCATTGACCCATGAACCAGGAGGTCACCGTTCAATTCTTGGTCAGGGCACATGCCTGGGTTGTGGGCTCGATTCCCAGTAGGGGGCATGCAGGAGGCAGCCAATTGATGATTCTCTCTCATCACTGATGTTTCTCTCTCTCTCTCTCTCTCTCTCTCCCTCTCTCTCCCTTCCTCTCTCTGAAATCAATAAAAATGAATTTAAAAAATAAAAATATATTAAAAAAACAACAACACAAGAAAACACCAACCTTCAATGTGTAGAGGATAAGGGGACGTTAGTAAGTTGTCATTCTAGGATGGTAAAAAATCAGAAATAAAGCAAAAAATTACATCAAACAGTAACTTTTTAGAGCAATGGTAGGGGGGCCAAGTTAATACTTACAAGGTAAGAACTGATGAACTAAGTACGAGGCTGTTTTATCATGGTCTTCATTTTATCGTTATAAACCTAGAAAAAAATAAAAGTGAAGACTTTAAAAATGTGTTCACATTATATGTTATAAAATTAGCAATCGAGGTTGACAGTTTTCTGATCCCTATTAAGCATAGAACAATCACAGATTATAAAACCCAGCACCATTTATATATTTCAGTCCAGAGTTTGTTTGCTTTGGGTTTTTTTGTTGTTGTTGATAATACTCACCCAAGGATATGTTTCCCATTGACTTTTAGAGAGAGTAGGAGGGAGGGAGAAGAGAAACATCATGTGAGAGACATAGATTGGTTGCCTTCTACAGGTGCCCCCATCTGGGTGGGGATGGAACCTGGAACCCCGGGTACCTGCTCTTGGCTGGGAATCAAACCCAGCAACCCTACTGTGTGTGTGTGTGTGTGTGGGGGGGGGGGGTGTGGAGGGACAAGGGCATGCCTGGCGCTCTAACCACTGAACACACCAGCCAGGGCTTATCATTAGTTTTTAAAACTCACTATTCTATTACTAATACCATCTTGAAGTTTAAAAGGCTAATATGTAAGTGCACTTAAAACTCATTCTTCAATGTCTAACTTGAAGCACACTGAGCTTCTGGAGAACATCATAATTACAGATATTTTAAGATAAATTCAAGATCATACCACAAGATTGACCAACCTCTCTCTCTCACACACATACATACACATACATGTATGCTACTGGAAAAACTAAAAACCACACAGTGCCCAATTTCAATAATTCTATTATAAATACAAAGCTTAAGGTGTTTAAATATGTATAAATAAATGGTTGAAAATCCTATATAATAAAAGCATAGTATGCAAATTGTCCCTTTGACTGGAGTTCTTCCAGGAGTTCAACCAGGGGGTGGGCCGGCCGAGGGAAGGGAGTGAGGTCCTGGCCAGCAGTGGTGGCAGGCGGCTGGGAGAAGGGAGTACCCAGCCGACAGCCGCTAGGGACCCTACCAGTGCATGAATTTCGTTCACTGGGCCTCTAGTAATGTTATATTCTACTAGAGGTCCAATGCACGAAATTTGTGCATGGGGGAGGGGTCCCCTCAGCCCAGCCTGTACCCTCTCCAATCCGGGACCCCTTGGGGGATGTCCAACTGCCGGTTTAGGCCCGATCCCAGACATCCCTCTCACAATCCAGGACCGCTGGCTCCTAACTGCTCACCTGCCTGCCTGATTGCTCCTAAATGCCCCCCTGCCAGCCTGATCACCCCTAACTGCCCCTGCCTGCTGGCTTGATCGCCCCTAACTGCCCCCCCTGCCAGCCTGGTCCCCCCTCCCACCGGCCTGGTCGCCCCCAACTGCCCCCCTTGCCGGCCTTGTCGCCCCACGCAGCCTGCTGTTCAGTTGTCCGTTTGGTTGTTTCGGTCATGATGGCCCCTGGCTTTTTATATATTAGGATGGCCAAAACAAGAGAAAATATAGTTGTGAAATTGCCTGAATGCAGGAGCAAATGAAAGAGTAATGATAAGAAAAATTTATTTCCATGGTTGCCCTTTACTTATTAAGAGTAGGAAGGATTAAAAGCCAGTATGCAAAAGAAAACATTACATCTTCTCTTTAAAAATAAAAAGATTGAAAAATATCCTGGAAACGTAAGTTTGTTAAAAGGTTTGACTTCTTTGGGACATTATAAACTGTTCTTACACCAACTAACAGTTAAGCACTTACTACAAGTCACAGAATAGAAAGAAGAGAATAAACCCATCCATGCTTAATGAAACATTCATTCCAACTGTACATCTTATTGTAGAAGATCTTCGCCAAAAAATAAAAAATAGCACTTTTGTCTCATTAATTTGAAAAACAAACAAAACCCCAACATTTTAAATCCAAAGAAAAACCAAGAGAATACCAAAATGAATCTCCACATCTTAGCCCTGGCTCTCCAATCCAGCTGTATTTAATTCTAATATTCTGCCATGCTTACTTTGCTTAATTAAATTTTTTAAGAAAGACTACATATATAGTTGAGTCTCATTCCCCTCTCTCCTGATTATAATCCTGAATTTGGTTTTTATTAACTATGCATGCTTTTATATGATTACTATAAATTCAAGTATTTAAAACAACATATATCACTAGAGGCCTGGTGCACAAGAATCGTGCACTTGGGGGTAGAGGGGGTCCCCTCAGCCCAGCCTGCGCCTTCTCGCAGTCCGGGACCCCTCGCTCCTGCACTCGCCAGCCGTGAGCCTGGCTTCTGGCTGAGCAGCGCTCCCATGAGAGCGCACTGACCACCAGGGGGCAGCTCCTGCATTGAGCGTCTGCCCCCTGGTGGTCAGTGCGTGTCATAGTGACTGGTTGTTCCACTGTTCGGTCAATTTACATGTTATGCTTTTATTATATAGGATTGTTTTCCAACTTTACATAAATGTTACCATACCATATATATTTTGTATAATGTATTATATATTTTGCAACTTATTTTTATCATTAATCTATAACAATACACACAGCTCTCTTAAATAGCAGTATAACAAAGAGTTCATATGATTATGTCACAATTTATCATTTTCTTTACTTAACATTCAAATTGCTCTCAAAATTTTTCCTATGAAAAGTAAAAGTAAACAAGATTTTTTCACACGTCTTAGTTTATCTAGGACATCTAGGAATGGAATTGTTGTGTTCAAGCCTAAGTATATCTTCAACTTTATTAGAATTTTGTCAAATGCTCCCACAAGCAGCATAAGAAAAGTTCCTCTTTCTGTATTTTCTCCAACAATAAAACTACATTTAAGAAAAAGTGCTACTATGCAGATGAAAACTAAAAAGATTCTTAAATGATCAATTCATCAAGTGTAGATATACTAAATGTTCCAAAGAAATAGAATAGACTAAAATTTGGCCAAAGATACTTGCACAAAAATAAAGCTCACATAATATAGATTTTCCTCATATGACTGAAGAAATACCAAGACGTTATAACTACTGTGGAAGAAATGATAAGGTTCATAATTAGTTATTGAACTTAGATACACAATGATCAAAGAGAAAAGAAAGCAGAAAATATAAATGGTTTATTGATGTGAAGAATCCTCCCTCATTTCTTTTTGGGCAGTGCTTCTCCCATGTAGTGCTTCTAAAAACTTCTAAAAACAAAACAAAACAAAACAAAACAAAACAAAACAAAACAAAAAATTACAGCTTGGAAAAAAACCCCCAAATTCCTGAGCCCCAGCTTTAGATTCTGATTCAGCAGGTCTGAAAAATGTTTTTTTCTAGGTTATTCTGGTACAGGTAGTCCACAGACAATTTATACAGTAATTAGTAGTAAAAACAAGGTGTTTTTGATATAAAGGATTATGTAGCTCACTTTTTGGTTGAGGGTCATTTAACACTAATTAATGTTATCTGTAAATTACATCAACATATTAAAGAAAACACTTCAGTATTAGCAAAACATAGTAATCTCAACTTATGGTTGAATATGTTTGTCTTCACAATGTTAAACTAGGTTGTGGGATCACTTATCATTTCAGATAACCAAGCACATACCACAACAAAACTTTTTTGGATAATATTAGGGAACTAATATTCTTAGTTTACTGTAATTAGTAAAGGAAAACATTAAGAGTGGGAGTGATTAGTTGTGTTTTTAATGAGGACATTCGTTACCTTTTTAAAGAAATGCTATTGCAAATGTCAGACTTTAAATTAAGACATTATGCTCACACACTAAAATGTCATTGTAGTTCCCAGGAAGAATGCTACAAATGAAATCAGTACTTTAATAGAAACCCAATATTCACTTCCCTGTAATTACAACCTATTGGAATGATTTAGATAGAAAAGATGAGAAAATGTACAGATATTTAGGTGATACAAACATGTGCAAATTCAAATTGTGTTAAATTATAAAAACACTCTTTTATACTATTTGAAATTACAAAGTCCTATCTCTGAAAGATTTAGAATAATCTGAATTTTCCAGTTATAAGACATTAACAGTGAGAAAAAGCAAAGACTTATGAGTTTCTATCTGCAGCATGCTTTGTATTAGTTATATACAATACTAAGTAGTATAGAGTGGTATTCTTTTTAGTCATAGTGAAATCAACAATAAGTTGGCCTTGTTTAGATTGGGCTATAGAAAACGAAAATATGGGTTTGGAATATGGCCCCAATGTGAAAAAAACACTATGTGGCCACCGTCAACTTTTCTTTCTTCAATATTACCTAACTTGTGTTATTAGCAACTAATTATTAATTTTTCCAGTTTACCAGCTTAAAAGTGAAAAACATGAAACACCATACACACTTTCAGACGCAAGACAAGTTTACATTCAAACAGAGGAAATTAACTGAATGAAAATTACATTAAGTAAAACAAGAGTAAATAGTAAAAATAATAAAAGTCTAAAAACTGTAAGTACCTACGGCTCTTTTTATGCTCCTCTGGGAAGAAGACACCTTTTTGTCAATGAATATAATATATAGGGTTACACTGACAAGCCCGTCACACCTAGTCTGTAAAAATTGGTGGGTTTAGGCTCTTTTGGCCACCATTATTGCATATATGATGCTATTGTGTACAACAGCTGAGTTAAAAGCAGCAATCTCCCAGCTCCTGTTCCCAGCTATAAGGGACAAGAACAAGGGCTGTGGTGATACTTGTTTATTCACTGTTGCTGCTGCTGAAGCAGCAAACTGAGAAAAGCATATACAACTAATAAGAAAAACAAAATGGTTCAATCCAACCTACCTAGCATGTCTGCTTATATCATTATACAATATACTTATTTAGAAGGAATTTTTTTCTTTAAAAAGAAGGATGGGAAGACAAGACAAAAAGACAAAATTGGTGTTTTGCTTAGAAAGGGCACCTATTAATGTATCTCAGAAAATAATTTAATGACATGTAATGATCTGCAACTTGTAGTTTAGTTGCTCAATTACCAAAATTCTCAGGTTGTCTTTTTACCCAGGTTCAGGGTTAATTCATAAAGAGTATTTTCCATAGCTAGTCTCCTGGAGAATAAGTATCTAAACTTTAATCAAGATATGAACTTGTATTTTGCTTATAAAAAGCTCCAGGCTCCCAGTTAATCACTACCATATGTTTCACATTAGATACCATTAATAAAAACATATTTTTTAGCCCATAAAGTTTACAAAAATCCCAACAACTAAAAAATTTCTACATGTAACTTATCTACTTTAAATGTGTAACACAAAGCTAAAAACTTAGTACATAATATCAATTGATGATGAAGAAAAATAAACTGTTCTGTCAAATTACCTTTAAATTTAAATGTGACGCTATTTATAAACTTAAAAGTTAATATTTAAAAGCAATTCGTACCTTTTAACAACTACGGAAATTTTTTATTCTGAAAAAATATTTTAGAAGTCAGAAAAATTAGGAAACCTATAACATTTTTTATAAATGCTAGAACTGGCTGATACATTTTTAAAAATATTTGGTAAAAAAGGATTGGTTTGCTATTTCTTAAAATAAAAGTATATAATACAGTAATATTTAAAATTCAGATCGTAATACTTTGTAAAAAGAAAAAAAACACCCAATCTTTTATTTTTCTCACAATTGAAAACATAATTTTTCTGCTTAGTAGCTCAATAGGAAAAAAATAATAAAAATAAAAATAATTCTGAGGGTCACAGGATAATAAAACTTCTAAATATATGTATTTAATAGAAAGGCTATACAATAAAATACTAACAGCAAAATAAAAGGATTTTTAAAAATTAAGACATTTGCAAACAGTAATAAATAAACTATTAACCAGAAGATTAATCAGTATCAGCAGGTGCTTTTGAAACATACTGCATGTTTCTGTTCCAAGTGACTCTAACCAGGAAAATAGGAAAATAAAAGTAAGCCAAATTATATGTTAATGAAACACCAAAAGTGTGGTTTGTGTTGCTGAGAACTTAAATTCTACTTCAAAATAATGTTTAACAAAAAATGTAAATTTTCACACTAAATATTGCCTTTTGAAAATGCTTATCCGAAAATGTAATTCTGATGCATTAGGTCTTATTTGAAAAAAACAGAAATAGAATTAGGATGAATTTCCTAGTCAAGAAAAAAACCAAACTATACTCACGTACAAAACTGCTTCAAATAAACATTTTTTATTAAGAAAGATAATTGTATCTACTCTTTAATAAAACCTCTATTAAATAAAGTTGTTATAGCTGACAAGTTACTTAAAATATAAGTTGTCCTTATAAATTAGCATTATACATCAATGACAAATAATGAATAATTTCAAGTCCCTTCATACACATATGTTAAATTACCTCTATTCTAGTTTATCCAAATATTCTCCCACCAGATCCTAAGGATAACTATTTCAATAAAATAGGAACACTGACAGTATAGCTGTATTTTAGAAACAATTAAGAATTTTTCCTTAAAACAAGTGTCATTTAACCCCCAAAAATGCATTTAACAAAAAATACAGATATTTGCACAAGATGTAAGTTTATCACTGGAAAAAAAATAAATTCTTTCTCAAAATTCTGACATAATGAAGTACATACCAAGGCTTAGATATAGATAAGCGGGTTTGCAAATTTACAACAGCCAAAATCCTTACAAAACGTCCTTTAAGGGGCAGTTAAAAGATAACCAATCACACTTTGCAGTATAAAAACTTAATAACATGTCTCCTAAAATAAAATACTACAAATTGCAGTTTCTGATCCTTTATAAGAAGTGACCAAATACAAGAAAACTATTAATATCTGCATTGATTCTTTTAGATGTTAAATTACTTACTAAGTTTAAAATTTGGAACTTTATAAGCCAGTGTATAGAGAGGACAATTTTATGATGCTAAAAATTTGTGTCCAAAGAGTAAGTTTTGACAATTTCAAAGAACACAAATCATAAGCTCTCTAAATTAGGAATAATTCTATGGATTTATGTCCTTATCTATAACATAAATGCAAAAGCTATCTCTCTTCACCCATTTAATTCAATAAGGCTGTGTGTAAAGATACCTGGTTTGAAAGTAATAAATTGAACCTGGATTTTTTCCCCCCAGACATTCAGAAATCATATTTTTTTCTTTTTATTATAATTCTCTAACCTGGAAAACAATGGTTAAGTTAAAGGGGAGCAAATTTTCATTTTCAATAAGGCTGTGTGTAAAGATACCTGGTTTGAAAGTAATAAATTGAACCTGGATTTTTTCCCCCCCAGACATTCAGAAATCATATTTTTTACTTTTCATTATAATTCTCTAACCTGGAAAACAATGGTTAAGTTAAAGGGGAGCAAATTTTCATTTTCTTCCCAATTAAATTCACATTTTTCATAACATGCTCAAATCAAAGTTATGAAGACATTCTAATACTATGTATTTATCTCAATCACCTACAGTATAATGACATCAACATCTGAATTTCACCTTTACATTAAACTAATTTCTATTAAATTTTTAACATTTTAATTAACCTTAACTGTTAATAGATTCACATTCCTGGATTATCTATCTAATATCTACTAATACAGAAACATCCAACATTAGCTTTTTAGTATTTTGATATATATCTCAATGTTCAGAAATTCTTAAACATACATCTGAGAATTTTCTTTTAAAATATTTAATAATGTGTAAAGATATGTTTACAGATAAAAGTAGTTTTATGACCATGATAATTACACTTTATTCTTAAGACTAAATTACACTTTTCTCGTGGAAAAAAACACACCCCACTTTTGTAATTCCTATATCTTAAGTATATAAAGTAAATATTTTTAGGTGAAAAAAACATTTAAAGAAAAATTATAGTACATTATATTTTAGTAAAGCTCACTTTATGTGGCAAATAGTTTTTAAAAAATCATAGTAATACTGTTCAAGTTCATTTTCATTATACCAGATTACCATTTAGAAATCAAGAATTTTATTAGCTAAGTAGCCAAAATTTTCAACTAAACCCATACAAATCAAAGAAAATAAATATGTTATAAAAGTGGTTCTGTTGTAAAGTTTTCTGGAGGAAAAAACAATAAGTCACTAGAAATTTTGGCATTCTCCCATTTATTTTTAAAGAGTTTGCAACTTCTGATATGAACAATTTAAATATTTTACTTGGAGCACCCATGAGTCAGACACTAGTTTCTACTTAAGAAAGTGGGTTTTTCAGTTTCAACCAAATTGCCACTTTTAGTTAGAATACTACTTGGAATCTTTTAAATGCTTTAAAAATATTCTCATTAATTTTATCTAATTTTATAGGCTCTACTGACCACTAAACCCATCATACAGCCAAGCACCAAATTCCATTTGATTGAAACTTTCTATTTTATAAGATGAAAAGTCCAACATTTAATTCTTTTATATATAACACTATAATAACAACCCTAAGAGGAAAAAAAAGAAAAATCCCTATATATACTTATTTTTAGACTAAATAAATTCAGTTGGAGTTGGACCTAATACAAGATGATGAGATCGACTATATAAAAAATCTGGAGTTTTAATAAGAGTACTTAACCATGGCTACTTCACAGGATGTATTAATATATCTTTACTGAGTTTTAACTCACCTAAAAGTTCTAGCTTTACCAATTGTGCAACCCAATTATATTGAAAAGATATAAAACTGTATGCTTCTAAAATTCATTAGTATACCTTTAGTATACCTTAATCTCCTAACATGTTCCAGTGCATTATGTGAGTGCTCAATCAAAGAAGTTAGGTTGTTCTCCAGAACTGGCTCTCTCCTTAAGGTCAAAACCTGCAATAAAAATGTCATGTATTATAGCAAGAAGACACTCAACAGATTTCCGCCTCCTGGAGTTCCACATTGGATCCCTGGACAGAGGTAAGGTCTTCAAAATGACCTCAATCTTGCGTATGTTAGAAAACACACACTAACTTGAAAATAATGTTATTTAAAAAGAAATAACTTGATTAGAAACACCTGTGATATGCTTTATCATTTGAAGCCTCTTCAAATCAGATTAATATGTTTCTGCTTTCATTTCTCTTTAGGGCATTCATTTTCAAAGCAGTGTAGGGGGGGAGGGTGTGTAAGTAGGTGTTAGAGAACTGGTAAAGGGGACTCACAAGGAAAATACCAGAGATACATTTTGTCTGTGCTTCTGAAACTTACAAAACCCAGTTTAAAAAAATACTTAAGGGATGGAGAGGAACTTTTCACTACCTTTCTCCCCAAATTATCAAACTTTTAATGATTATAGAAATTACCATTATTTTCAACTTTTATCTTTTGCCATACCTGAGTGAACATTAATATTGACATTTCCAAATATTTTAAGACATTACAATTCTAACAGAACAAAATTTAGAACTTACTCTCTAAGCAAATTAAAATATAAGTAATAAACAGATGAATATTGGGCCAATGCTTTTTTTAATGTTCCTAGCAGACATGGTGTAACCAAATGTATATGTGGCTTTTTGATTTGTTTCACCTATATTTTGACTTAGTGGCAATCAACTATATAAAAATATTAAATTGCTAAATTACCAAAGATTAATAATGTACTATAAGTGAACCAAAAAGCTCTGAGTTATCCATATTTATTTAAAAATAGCTTAGGAAAAGAAATAAAAACCAAGTAAATTTTTACTTCTTTGGTGCCAAATATTTGATTATTTAATGGCAAAAACCACACACACATAACCCACAAACACCAATTAAATACCATGATATTTTAAAAAATTAAAATCATTACTACAATAGTCTTCCTCAAAGATATAGACAAAGTTTTCTATATTTGAGCACTCTAAAAATTAAGGTAGCTTGGCTTTAAAAATCACAAAAGAAATGTAGTTGATACCAATATGTATTCCATCCCAAAAGTTAAGTTTTTACATAGTAGGAAAACAAAATATACTAGATAATAAAGAACAAAGGAAGTACAAAGACAAGACAAATATTAAACCAAATGATTAAAAAGATGTAAAAAACCTTTAAATAATGAAACTCAAATCTCAAATCTATTACAAAATAGTTTATTATTTATACTTAGAGCCCACATCTTTCCAGTGTAAAAATTTTTTAGTAAAATAAGTCAGAATTAAACAAAAGTATGTTAAACTTCTCATAACTTGATAAGAAATATTTAGAATAAAATTCGTATGTATTTAATATCAATTCTAATATTTGAAACTTATCTTTAAAGGAAGACCTTTTAAAGCATCTCGAAGACAGTGAAGAGGGGTGGGGGGAGGGAAGGCAAATGGAAATCATTTCCCCTCCAGAAAGCAGTATTTATAGGAAGGCTTTACAGTCATTTGTATTTGCAAATAATCAGAAAAATATATAAACACATTTAGTAATGTGATATTATAAAACTGATGTTACTCATATTAATAAGACAATCAACTTTAAAGCTCTAACAGTACCTTGTAAAAAATGCAAACAGCTTAATCTCATTTTCAACATTTATTTAAAAGAAAGTGGTAATTGTGGTATTTTATTACCGATTTCCTTTGGTGTTAAGAGAGGGGCTACCAAATTTCAGCAAGTCATAGTTTGAGTTCTTATTACATGCCCAGATTAGTTGCCTGACATATAGTGTTTGTAAGCTTGCTGAATAATAATAATAAAAGAACAAAAATGCATGTATACTCATACTCTAAAATATGACAATTCTTTTTAAGATGTGTTTTCTAGTTATAATTAGATTCATAGCCTGTTTCTTTTAAAAACGGGTTAAAAAGAAATCAATATGGGGATCATTATGCTTCATTAAATAAACAAACAAAAGACAAGAGCCAATTTGAGGCCAGTAATTTGTTAAAATAAAGAGATAATTTTTTGTAGAATAAAATTTCAAAATAGTGTATAAATTTATACTCTGATTTTTTTAATTGGAGAAAGTTTATGTATCATGTAGAACAAATAACTAATATAATCTTCTGGCTATTTTATTTTTGTAAACCAAATCAACTGATCAATATTTCTGGACTACAATATTTTGTTACATTCTGAACTGTTACTACATATCAATAAATAAACAGAAATAAAAATATAGGCAAGTCTCCACAAAACAAAAACCAAAAATGTAGTATACCAAACATGATAATACAAGGAATCCAGAATATGAAAGTTATTTTGAAATTTTCATCTTTAGCTCTAGTTCATGATAAACATTAAAAGTGATATTAATCTGATTAGAAAAAATACAGTGCTACATACAAACATCTGAGAGTACATTCTATAAATGTACAACTAAGACAGTTGACAGCATTAAAACCAAGTTTAAAACTGTACTTTTATTTGGATTTTTTAAAATAGTAAAGACAAAAATTAAAATCAATGCTAACAGGAAGACTGATACCTTACCTTCTCAAGTTCCCTCTCCCCCCACCAATATGTAAACATAGCTTTAAAAAAGAGTTGAGCCACTATAGTAACACCTTTACATTATTTTCCTGTGGTATTATGACTTTTCTAGTCTTTACAGTACAATAAAAATAAATTCAATCACATACATAATATAGTAATCATATGCATCTGTTGGAACTCATGCCTATATGCCCACAAATCTAAAACCAAAATCTTCCTCTTATCTATATCACATAAAAGGTAAAATATTTTTAATGCTGTGGATTTTATTTAGATGCTAGTGTGTTTTCAAGCTTTAAGGGCAGTGTTTTAAATAAAGGAATCCTTCTCTTCCTTAAAAAATATCTTATTAAGCAAGACAATCCTTCACCCATCACCCCCAAAACAAAAACCATAAAGCAAAGTACTAAAAAAAGTATGGTTAAATTTAACCAGCCTGGTGGAATCTGAAAGCCTCTCCCACCCTCAAATTCTCCAAGTTACATAATAATTTGAGTGAAAATTAAAACACAAAAAACAAAACCACAGAGAAAAAACACACAACAAAAGACAACAACCCACTGGTATCATGGGTAAAATTACATTAAAAATAGAAAAGAGGTTGTCTATAATTTCATCAACTCAAATTTAATAAAGGATAATTAGTATTTTCTATGAAATTTTCATGAGATGATTGAAAATAAAACAGCTTTTAAAATAAGGTAATGAACATAGATTCTGTAATTGCAATTCTTGTTATGAAGGCAATATAAAATAGTACCATTTATAAATTCAGTTATTCCACTCTATTAATATAAATTATATTTATAGCCCTGCAGAGACTTATATTTCCTAACAATGCATATTTGATCTAATGTGAGAATACAAACTCTTAAGTTTCAAAATTTCAACTACTACTCATAAAAGGATGCAAATTTCTATTAAATTTAAAAAAACTTAAAAAAGGATCAACAGCTATCTTGTTTATCAGTAAGTTTACAAATTTTCTTTGAAAACCACACCGGACTTTTATCAAGACGCAATTAAACGCAATGACAAGCTGGTAATAAACATAAGTATATGGATGGCTGTCTCAAGCAACGTTAAACAAAAATCAACTTAAAACCAACCAAATAAAACACATCATACCTACTGTTGTATACAATATTTTCTTCATAGTAAATTTATCAAAGGAATGAAATCATATATACGCACCTGTGCATACTTACCTGTTGTATTGTGTAAATTAAGCAATATAAATTTCCTGTAAATAAAGTTTTAAGCCCGCTACATTGGCTAATTAAATAAAACATTTATTTTAAAGATATGAAAAATTTAAAAAATATATCCAATTTTGTAAAAATGTGGGAAAACTCTTTCTCAACATTAAGAAAATTAAAGTTTCTTCTTATAAAAATAAAAAAACAATTCCCTTGCAATCTGAATATAATAAATATATGTAGCTTAAGATGAAGAATTTCTGTCAAAAGAATAAACAATCTTAATGCTTCACTCAGTTTTAAGCAATAGAGAACAGGGGCAAATATATAAAAATCTTGCAATTTCTGCCAGCAGAATTACTATTTTGCGAAAATTGTCTCCTCAATTTTACTTTTAATATACATTTCAGAATCACTCGAAGTTCTTTTATGGAAAAAAAAATTAAACACCAGCTTTTTTTCAACTCTCCGTATTAACGTTTTGTAATTATTTCCGTTGTCTAAAAATATAATTTTTCGTAAAGTCGAAAATTATAATCTAGTGTTTAACATTCAAATCCCTCAGTCCGCTCTCTTCCAGCCAATCAGGGGCTAACGAGTCCAGTGTTTTGGGTGCTCCGTTAAACACAATTTGAAAAACATCACATTTCGTTCTCCTGTTCTCTTCGGGAAAAGATTCTAAGTGAAGGCGGCTCCCCCAGTCTTTACAGAAATAAGAAATCAACCCATCGTTACATCGGGGGTGGGGGGAGGGGGGTTCCGCAGGCGGGTCCCCCGAAGCGTTATTCCTCTTGGCCAACAGTTTAATCGCTGTTGCAAAAACCATCTCCTGCGCATTCGCCACTCAGAGCCGTGCATCCCACACGCAAACACCGCGCCTGCACGGAGTTAACCTCGGGGCGCTTCGCTGCAGAAAAGGCTTCCAGAGCCAATATATTTACAAAGGTCATTACCTATCAAGTATTACTTAAAGCCGCCACTGGCTCAAATCATTCGAGCTGTCGAGTAAGAATTGGTAGGAACTGGGAGCTAAGAAAACAACAACAAAAAAGCAATCACTAAAGGGAAAGACAAATAACATCCCTCTCCCCTCCGCCTCAGGGTCAAGAGAGTTCCTAAGAAAAGGGGGGGCGGGCGGGGGCGGCAAAATTGCCGCTAAGTTGTCCCGGTAAAGACTTTCCCGAGGAAAACATCAATACTGCTTCAGACTGCTTTTTTCCTCGCGACATGTTTCAAAGATTGGAGAAGAAAAAGTATTCTAAGAAAAGTGACTTGGAGGCAATCGCAAGACTCAAAGCCCCATCTTTTATCTCACCCAATACCCCCCGTCCCCCCCGAAAGGACAACACCGGGAGAGCCAAAGACAAAGATCCCAGGCAAAAAGCGAAAGTCCAGCACCTTTCCCAGGAGCGGCGAGAACCTCAAAAGCCCTATCTGCCCCGAAGCGCGGCAGCGGGCAGCGCGACCCCCGTCCGGACCGAGGCGCTCGGGGCCGAGGGCGGCAGCGGGAAACTCCCACTCCTGGGGCTCCTCACGTTCCAGCGTCAAAGCGCGACGGGCGCGAGGCACCCGCTACTTCGGGTCCTCAATTCTCCGCCAGCCTGAACTTTCTTGTCACGGGAAGACGGCCGTCAGCAGGCCAGGCAAACTGCAATAAAAGACGGCCCGGTTCCGCCACGGGGGAGGA